TAACCCCCCCCCCCCCCCCCTGTGCGAGTATTATACTCACACATTTGTAAATTTTAATAGGATCAAAATACAACTCGATAAAATATAATTGTAAGAAAATTTGCAGATGTAAAAGAGAAAGATAGAGAGAGAATGAGAGAGAGAGAGAGATCTTAGGTCTATTTTTTATTGCTGCACTTTCTGAACTAGTACACAGTGCAATAAGTTGAAATGAAACAAATATGCGTTTATTTCACTTCAACTTATAGTACCGGTTCAGAGTGCAGCGATGAAAAACAGACTTCTAATTTGTGCAAAAACTAAATAAACAGAGAGATAATTGTAAGTAATATCGCCGAGTTTATTTGAAGTTGTATTCCACGCGCGATATCGAAAATCGACCGAAACACTTTGTGCAATATTAATTCCAATCGCGCGCTCGCAGACCTTTCTTAATCAAATATTAATTACTGTTTTCTCGAGAGGAAAAATCGCGCAAGCAATTTCTCTAAATTGCACGTACGTCTGTCCGCGACGCGACGTTCCTCGGTTTTGTAATGAAATGAAACTTTCATGCGCGGGAGAGCGTTCAAGATAGACTCTCTCGCGTTGCCGGAGAAATCCGCAGCGGGACGGTCATTTTGATAGAGCAATTTCAACTTTCTCGAACTGCGAAACGACGATCGGCCACCGGCGTGCGAGCGCGAGAGAGGAGGAGCTGCGAGACGCGTTCTCGTAACTGGAAAGTGCAGCGACTCGATGCCCTATAATCATCAACGACTCGACGTCCAAGTTCTATACTTCGCGATACTCTATCGCGGAAATAAAGCCTCCTATAATGGAAACACAACGAAGTCCTCCACGTGTGAAGACTGTAAACCAGGGGATTGTACCTTACATTTCAAGATAACGTTTACATGGAAATTGTTTACGTATTGTTTACATGAATTTTTTCTGTGTAGACAATATAAGCAATGTAAAATACGTAAATTATGATAAAGTGGATAACAGAATACAGAAAGAAGTCATTTAAATTAATTAATTAATTAAAAATAAATTAGATTTTATGACTTTTTTTTATTAATATATCTAATTTTAATATTAATAAATAAAAATTAATAAGCGAAATATAGGAGTCTTAGACTAATGCAATGACAAAGAATATAGACTTCGATATATAGATTATTTATATGGATGACTCGTAAAACATAGTTTATATAATTTACATTGCAATATGTACATTGTTAGAAAGGAGCAATGGCAACCCAATCCCTTGAGTTAAATAACATTTTGTTACTTTTAATTTTCATATGTGTTAAAATGTAAATTATCCATTTCTGTAGTTAGTTACAAAGTAAACAAAATTCATATTAATGCACATAGGAAATAATAAACTAAGTTTGAGTTAAATTTAATATATTTTCTTAAGTTAAATTGTTTTAGCTAAATTAATATATTCAGTTGGAGTATATAGCGTCAACATATAGAAATAATTAAAAATAACTCAAATTGGATATAATTTTACATTATGAATTTAATGGCATATAGAGATAAATATAGATTATTATATTTTAAGCGTAAACGTACAACACCCTGACGCAAACCAATTGCGTATAAAAATAAATTTTGTGGCTTTGTTTTTCTGTATATTCGATGATAAAAAATATCTTTATTAGTTAACTTTTTTATTAAGATATCTTTTTGTGTAAGTGCAAACTGCTTATCAACAAGATTCGTGTGGCGAAGCGTTAAATTCCATGGATCATCGAGTCGACGATGAAGAATTATGACCAACTGCAGGCTGACAGACACGTGCTATGCGCTTGATAAATGCCAAGGTCGAGTTGAAGCTGCTCCCCGGACGATTCACAAGTCGGCCGCTACCGACGTTCCTCCCCCGTAATTGCATAGTTTATCACAAAGACTTTCTCTGCCGGCGTTTCCATCAAAGGCGGGTAACCAACCACCTGAAAACCTCAATACAAACGCCTCTGTAAATCCCACCGACCTGTCCCCCCCCACTCTCTCTCTCTCTCTTTCTCTCTCTTTTGTCATCTTTTCGGTGACTCGTGAAAGCTCGTTCCGTGAAGTAATCGGGGAATCGAGTGGTGAACAAAAGGGAGAGAGGGACCCCCTATTCGCTCGAACGACTCTTTTTCGAGGCTGGTGCCCCCGATAATCGTCGGTCCGGCTGCGAAAATATCAAATGCAAATGGCTGTCACAGACCCCCGCAATGTTTCTCGTTCTTTCTCTTTCTCTCAAATCGGTGACGTAGCCATAAATCGAATTTCTCCCTAACAAGAAGTCTGAAGGAGATGTCATAAATATTCATTTGATGCTGCGACGGCGAACGACGCCAACGTTTTAGACGACGTGCAAATCTACGCGGTGTCTACAATAGATATTCATATAGCATCAACAATGTCTCTCCTTCTCTTACCTTCGCAAAGATTACTAAATTCCTAGGGCAAGTATAGCAAATGATGTATCGTCGGTATTTGGGACATGAAAGTGGTAACGTTACCTACAGCGATACCGACAGGAATTTGCAAGTGGTGCTTGTTTAGTTTTGCTTCTTATCGGCTTACCCGAAGTTTACTTTAAGTTAAGAACTCAAAGTCAAACATATGCAAACGCATATAACTCAGCCTTAAGAATTTCTACTTAGATATACATACATGTCAGATGATATCTCATTGTTAGACAAAATTCGTATTCGTAAAGAATCGGAATGGTAATATTATAAAATATGTAATCGTTCAAGGCTTAAATTCTTTCCTAAAAGTAAAAAAAAAAAGATATTTTTAAGAATTTTTTTAAAGAAAATTATTTATTCAAACGTTTTGAACTCTTTACGCATAAAAGATATATATTTCATAAATATTTCTCAATTTCTGCATCCATATTCTGCCTTTTTTCCTACTATTATGGTTTAATCAATGATAGTCTGCGGTGATTTGTGGGAGCTGTGTGTGTGTCACTTTTATTCTATGGACCTAAAATAAAAATATCAAAGTTTGTTTTTCTCGTTGAACATTACTTTTGGTACTAAATCTCTAAAATGCCTCAAAGTATGAAAAAAACAGAATGACGGCCTGTCAAAATAGATTTTGACCGCCATTTTATTATTATCAAAACAACGTTCAACGAGAAAAACAAATTTTAATTTTCTTATTTTAGTCCTATAGAATAGAAATGCGAGTTCTCAGAAATCGCCGCAGATCATCATTGGTTGAAAACAGCAAGAGAAGGAGGAGTCTAATATATATGGACGCAAAAATCAGAGATATTCATGAAATACTTTTGTGTAAATAAAAAATTCAAGTTTAAATAGTTATCTTTAAAAAATCCTATAATAAAAATATCTTTTTTCGGCTCCTAAAAAAAATCCCCTCTTAAAATAATTAGACTTTATCGCAGATAACAGTTTTCTTACGATTTACATGAGAAGAATTTTAATTTTATATCGATAAATAATTATTGAGTAAATTTAAGAAATCAAATGTCGAGCTAGGATTTCCCTTTGTCTTCAAATTTTTTTTTTTGGAATACTATATCATTACGTGTGATCGAAGATCTTTCAAGTTAATACATAACGCGCCGAGACAAAGCTTTTATAGAACGCACGCAATGTATCTCATGGTCGTTCGACTCATACATAAACGTGTTGCTCACATTGTCAGACGTTGATACATCATCGTACAGTAACATGTATTGATATTGCAACTAACAGACAAAGAACATATATTAAACTATGGAAGTACTAACACCTTCCAGCTCGTAATTAAAAATAACTGTAACTCGAATATACAATATGAATGTCAAATATTAATTTTAAAATAATTATAAGTTGACAAAGATGGCAGTTCATTAATAAAACAAGAGTAAATAAAAAAATAGGAGATAGAAATTAAATGTAGATAGAAGGCTCTCGCTGAATTTAACTTTGCAAAATAATACTGAGAGGCTTCCATTACATTCCACGGTTTCATCGAGCTGGAAAGCTTTAATTAAATATCTCGATATTGCAGTATTACTTACCGTAAAACCGATACCCACGGTGGCCGCGAAGTTTCCTGGCTGGAATCTTCCGGTATCGAACTGGACCAATAACGAAGTCTTGCCAACCCCGCTATCACCGAGGAGGATTGTCTGCAAACACATCATGCACGCGAATGAATGCCGGATTACAAAAACTTAAACAATTTAATGGGAACGTATATTTGTTGCAAAGAAAAAAAATGAATGCAATTTATATCTCGATCACGAATCTTCAAGTTTATTTTCCAATTAATCCTTTAAAAATACGTCCTCCATTTTTCGCGGACCGCATCGTGAATTTAATATTTCTCTCTTCGGAAGTTTATTTTCCAATTAAAGCATCTTTCCGCATGTATGTCCCTCGTTTTTCGCGGACAGTCGTGAATATTTCCTCAATTGCATTTTGCATTTTAGCGAGAACAAGCAGGAATATAAAAAAAAGCTCTCACAAACGCAATTACAAGGAGCTAGTTTAGTTTTCTAACTCTAGTCAAGTTAGCGTGTCTCTCTGAGCGCAATCACGATTCTATTTTGAGATTGTTTTGTCCATTGGATACGGTACCAACGAACAAGAGAGAAATAGAGAGAGAAAGAGAGAAACAACGTGATGATAGTGCATCGGATAGTGCACCAGTCGCAATAAACCACAGCAGTCCGTGCAATCAGTAGCAATGTCGAAGTCGATTGCAGCGATAAGCGATCGAGCGTAGCGACGCATTGGAGTCCATCTTCCAGCCAATATCAATTCGCATTGACTCGAAATCGAGAAACACTTGTTTAAAACGAATCAATGCTACGGACTATCAACATTGTTTTCGACAGCAAACCAAGCGGGCATCTGTTTAAATGAACGTATTGCACTCGATATCGATATAAACTCGATTTGATATAAACGTTAAATTAAAAATACAATAGAATTTCTATAATTTGATTAGCATTAAATATTTTTCGACGGATTTAATATAAACTTCATTTACTTTATCTCATTCGAAAATGGAGATGAAGAGCAAAAATTCTGCCATGTCACTTTTTATTCATGATTTATATTACGTGTGAATATCTCAGCTAAAATATCAAAAAGTGTACGCGTTGAAAAATGAAAAATATAACAACTTGGTTATATATAATATAACAGGCAGATAATATATAATACAGGAAGAAAGAAATTTGTAGAAACGATTTCTCCCACTGTTTCGTAACTTCCGTACCCGAGCCCACCATCGTCGTCAGACAATAGTGGTTGTGGCAGGAGATTGATATGTGCGTTTCGAGTGTTCCGCGCCGCGCACGCGAGAATATCAATGCCATCGCTAAAACGGCGGGATAAAAAACGAGGGTTGCAATAACGAAGGTACGGCTGTACTATGGTACGTCGATAGTCTGACAGGTGCGCCTCTATTGTCCTAGCGATGGAGGCGTAGGATCGTTGTTCCCTTCCTCATAAAACGTCAGCGCGCGTGCAATAAGTGGTTAAATAACACAAATGTTCTCGACACCCTTGCGCATCGTCCGCTATTTTACTGCTGGTAAAAGAGAAAAAGGGACAGAGGAAAAGAGAGAAAAATGCGCCCGCGTATGCCAGATATTGAAATATAAATGTATTTTTTTTTATGGGCATACCGGTGGTGTCATTTTGGAACTTGACATTCGCTTGTCGTGTCGCGTGATTCCCTCGGATTTTTATATCACTCGTCGTGTTCAAAATTTAGAGAGCCGTTATTATTGATAGTATTCGCGTTACGCTCGGGGATAAATTCTCTCGGAGTAACCGAATAAATATACAAAGGCCGTTCCGATATACACTGCCAATACTGAAAATCTATAGTTTACGTTACATGGAAAAAAAACCAGTTTTGCATCTAAAAATTTAGCTGGACATAGATTAAAAAATAATTTTATTGGACTATCAAAATAATTATGTAAATAGAATACTCAAACATGATGAGCAATGTTGTCAAATGTTTTGACATTCTAGCAATCAATTTGAGTGTCCTATACATATCATTATTTTAATAGTCCAATAAAATTATGTTCAGATTTGTACTTAGCTAAAAGTTTAAATACTTCAGCAAAACTATTTTTTCCATAATATAATATAGATTTCAGTATTGATAGATACACGGTCAAAGTATTACAATGTAAAGCATGACATTCAACTAAATATCTTAGCCCGGATCTACAATAAGTTTTTAAACCTTAAGCCATAAGAAATGGACGAGTCATAGTCAATTATTCTCCTCGCATTCGACTGTAATTGATCAATTTCTTACGGATTAAGGCTTAAAATACGTATTGTAGATCCGGATTTAAGGATTATAAAATTATTAGAACCGTAAGAGTCTTACGTGTGTAAAAAAGAAAGATTGAACTCATAATTAATACAACTACGACTATTTTTATGTTGTTTTATGAAAACAAGAAACAAAGATTAAATACGAGACACAAACGAATAACACGATCTCAATATTCAACTTACTATAGCAGAAAAAGTTTTTTCATTTCTTGTCTTATCGGAAACTATGTCAAAGGAATTTATCGCGAAAAGTTGCGATTAGTATTCAGAAAAAGGTGCAATCACGCATAGGGTGTGCAATCACGCGCGAATGATAAATGTATGCAGAGGAGTAACGAATAAGAAATTCGAAGAGTCCCTAAAAGCTGCGAACGAGATGCTTACAATACTTCGATTCGAGCTGATTCTTAGAATCTCGCTCTTCAAATGGGCTTTTTCGGGCTGTCGAGAAGATTCTATATCGTGTCACCGTAGATTTATAATCCTCGGGCACCTCGAGGCGGTGCGGCGTCCCCTTCGCGACAGAATTTCCATTGAAAGATTCGCGGTACCCTCAGGGGATGGTCGTGACGAGTGTCAGCGAATGTGTCGGCCTCAGGGGCGGAGAAACTTAATTCACTGCCCTCCCTATCCCATCTCACTCTCTCTCTCTCTCTCTCTCTCTCGCTTCTTCCTGCGTGATTCCCCTACTCTCGTTTTTTCTCTCTTTTTCTCTTCTTCCCCTTTCTCTCTCTACTGTTGTAATCTACCTCTGTGTTCTCCCCATTTTCTCCACCCTCGGTGGAACCCCGTTGTGTCTTTGTAGATGGTTGTACCGCCGCGCGTTTCCAATTAATTGCCAGTAATCACGGTGGGTGAGCGAACGTTAAAAGCTCACTGCGAGCCAGAGAGGATTTCGGTGTGCGACAATTGCGCTGCGTGAAAACGCTTTTTAAAGATTATTATATCATGAATTGGATGGCCGGAAAATTATTTTTCTCATAAAACTCTTGAAAATTAAATTTATATAGGGTATAAACTAGTAAATGGTGTAGTAAAATCTTATATGACTCGTTAATAAAATTATTGTAATATTTTTTCACTCTCTTTGAAGATCATTATAATAAGCTAAGTGTTTATTTTATATAACTTGACGTATCGAAAATTACACAGACAATAATTGAGACAAATTAATTAGACGATAATTGGAAAATCAAAGAGATTATTAAACATTATATATAATTAATGATAATATCGTAAATCTATTGTCACGTGTATTTTCTCTTCTGAAATTTGATTCGTTAAAAAAATTTGTATTTTTAATTAATATAATTATATGGAAACACGTTTCATCGATTTCATCAAAAAAATAAATTAAAAATTAAAATTAAAGAATCCTAAAGGTATCTGATAATTTTTATAACATTTTATCGTTACATATAGCGTGTCGATGATATGAAAATTTCTATGCAAACGAGATCAGGCGAGTTTAGTTCTTCAGACAAGAATATGAGATCACAAAGACTTCATCTATCTTTATCGATGACGGCGAATTTATCAACGACCATAAAGTCTGGCTGCCGTTCACTTCTTGCAATAAACGCGTTTCTTGTAACCACCGTGGAACGCTATCGATTAACGGTCTCATGCAATCAGTCGCGATCATTGTTTCTTCGCAACTCATCAATCAATGACGATTTACGGTCGTGCTTTTCAGATTAGATAAATATATATATAATTACTTTATCGCACTTGAAAATTTATCTGTATCGCACTAATAGAATTCATCAAAGCCAAAATCAAAGATTTTCTGTCCCTTATCTTATTGGTAATGATTATTTATTTAAAAAACGAATTAATACATAATTCATGTCGCGATTTATGATTATATAAATATTAAAGAACGTGTTATATTTAACAAACTTTACATAACCAAACGATTCACCCTCTACACACTTTTGTGCTTATATAACACAAATTGAATATATACAGACAATAATACAAATATTATGTAAAAAAAAAATTAAATACATAATTTGGAAACAAATTATGAAAGTACATTCGTTAATAAAATTAACATGTATAATATATTAAAATATATGTTAAATTATAAAAAATAAATGTCAATTTAACATAAAATATTCTAATAATACGATCACATTAATGATCAAACGTGTTAAAAATTTAACGCAGAAATTTTAACAAAAAACGGTTTTAACACGAATACAAAATGATTTTCACCGTGTATAATTAAGATCGCAAGTTAAAATATCGACATAATCATCGGCTAATCCCTTTTAAGTCTATAAGTCCTTCCGGTGAGAGCGCAGGCTGTCAATTATTAATAATACCTACGGGCCCTTGGTCGAGTATATCTCGGAACAGCTCGTAACCGCGACGGAAGTGTAAAGCTGGTCGGTGTACGCGATCGGTTACGAAGCCGTCATAAAAGTGCGATCGTAAAACCGACGTACCATGAAGACAAGCCGTAAAGATTTACGAACGAGAATGTTGTAGGATTCGCAGTCCCGTCGTGATCGTCGATATTACTCGGATCCTGCAGAACGAGTCCTTCCTGCACAGTTTTCGATGAAGTGAAGGACCTGTGACCCTTGACCAAGCGTTTTCATACGCGCATACACGTGCTTCATATCGTGTTATTCGCTCAGTAAAAAGTATTTTCACGTAATATAGAAGGACAGACATACGCTTTTGCAGATTTTTATCATAAAAAAGACATAATTACATTCTTTAACAAAAAAGTTCAAGACCTGTGCGTTACTTTTTTGTTAAAGAATATATCATTATGCTTTTAATTTCTGAATTCTTTTCTAAAATA